GCATTAAAGAAACATCGTGCATGAGAAATTGTGTTGCTGTTTCCCCTTAGAGATGATAATGTGTTTATCTGAAAACGCACAAAACACACAAAAGAAGTTCAACTTCACGGCAAAAGCTGCAGGATACAAGGTTTATATGTTAAACATGAAATAATTGGGATTAGTGAGTCAGGAGAGAAAATACAATTCTGCCAATGTGGTTTTGCTGCTAGGAGCTGCTGTAGTCGTAAATCCACAGTCACACTTGCGTGGATTAAATTTGAGTTTATACATTTTGCGATTCAATTTCTAAATCTATTGAATTCACAGGACAGATTAAACTGGATAAGAAAAAACACAAAGAATACCAAAATCCACCAGACATGTCCTGAACATGGTCATTTAGGTCATTTAGTGCTAGAACCCTTAAGGGTTCTTGGGTTGTCCGTTTGAGGGAACTTCTAAAGGTTAAAAAATGTCCATACCTCTAGATTTATTATTGAAGTACACTATAGTTATTCACTCACTGTTTCAACCATCCAACTCTTTGTCCACCCACCCACCCATCCATCCATCCATCTGTCCATCCATTCATCTATTCATGCATCCATCTAACTATTTGCCATTTCATATATCAATCCACTCATTTTTTTTTTACCCTATCAGGCACTTTTAGGATCCCTTTCTGATATGAACTCACTGTCATAGCGTTCTACATACAGATGTGGCCTTTAAGAATGCACGTTTTTTTCACGCCGTGTGATCATGCGGTACCCTGCAGGCAGGGTTCTAAAAATTTAAATTCATTTGTTGTGCTTCACGCAATAACCACCAGGTGAGTTGAATGTACTTTGCTGATCCTGGTCATTTTTAGTTGCCTTTACAGACGGATCATTTGTATTTATCCATGCATACGCAGGCCCCCATTGGGGGACACTGACTGGATGCCAATGTCAATTAGAAAGATTCAGGTGATGGACTATTAGCAAGTTATTGTCATCCATTCGTATAATTCCAACAATTATTACAGGTTGTTGTTTTTTTTCTTCACTATTTAGCTGTCTTTTTATTTGAAGGATCTAATAAATTATTTTATTTACAAGCATCATATATGTGATGTTTAGGTTATTTGTCATTTAGTACAGCTTCTCATCATACTAAATACAAACATGCTATTTTAAATTTGAACTCCGACAGTTGATCGACGCCCCATTTATATTGTTGATGAGCTGCAGAGATATACAAGACAATTATATTATATATTTTCAATTTAATATATAACATTGTTTTATTCATCATTTTATTCAGTGTCATGTGTTTCATTTTTATTTCTTATGTGGAATATTTAGATCAAGTAATGTCCAGAAATAGGTGCAGTTGTATAGCCGACCATTTCATTTTCCAGTTTAAATTTTATTGACTCAAATAATAAAGGAATGCTTTGTAACATTATTTTACACTGTCAATGCATTTTCTGTTTAATTGGGTAATCCAGGGAGTAAAATGCCTATGCTCACTTACTGTAGACTTGAGTAGCTTTGGATTCACATGTACATGTACTGGAGGATTAATAAGCATTGATCATCTTTAAGTAATCTTATCATCTTTTGCCTTATCAAATTGAAGGGGACGAGCAGAAGCATAAAACTTGGAGTCAGATAAATTCTATCCAGGTCAAGTTATTTGTACGTATTTGCGGTCTATGACATCGCCATGGAGGCAAAAGCATTTTACTCAAAGAGAAGAGCTGAGAGGTGATAATATGTGGGGTTAAGGGAAGATCCACGCATCAATAACTATCTGGCAAAAAAGTTGCAGGATTCATCCTCTTCAAAAACACAAAGAATTTCTTTGTTGCTGAACCCAATCCTACAGAAGCCCTAAGCGGCCATGCCATTATCCTTCCCACAGCGAGTGTCAAACCACTCTGCCTGATATGTTCAGAGACCATGGCTCTAATATAAAGTGCCAACGTGAAGCACTGTTACGAGACAAAGCACAGATCTTTTGAGTAAACAAATGCACAGCAGTCTGAGGTGAGGGCACACTAAATAAACAGGCTCATAGCCCAGTACGATTGGTCTACCAGAGTCCTCTCCTGTGCATTCACTTCCCAATAGGAATTTTTTTTATTTTCCTGTGAAGATGCAGTCTTGTTTTGCTTCAAATGAGAACTCTATTCAGAGCATTGAAATTATATGAGCAAATCATGTTTGATGTAGGAAAACAAATTATGTTAATGTAAGCCAATTCAATCACGTGGAATCGATGTACGAATTTGAGTTAAGTCAATTCAATGAGCTTTTTTTTTCTAGTGTGTGGATTTGTGTGTTCAAGTTAAACCAGTTATTAAATAGTAAAACTTTTAAGAGGTACAACTGAAGAATCTTTAAGGATCATATACCTCCACAGTTGCAGTTTGTTTCTTCAGCTATACATCCATCCATACACCCATCTCTTTTTCAAGCATCCACCCATTTCATGCATGAATACATTCATCTAGGTCTATCTCTATTCCACTATCCATCCATCTATCCACCCTTTCATTATTCATCCAACCATCCTTTGATCCATCCATACATCCACCCATTTTATGCATGGATCCATCTATCCATCCATCCAGAATCCACCCACCCACCCCTTGTTTATTCATCCAACCATCCATGATTACTTTCATATATCCACATATTTCATCCATGGATCCAACCATCTATACCTCTTACTCTATCCATCTAACCACCTATCTATTCATCTATAGCATTTGACTATTCATCCATCCATAATGAAATCAAGCTCTTCTCATTTGCACAATAAATGTTGTGTTTGGACAAACAGTGCTGCCCACCCTTCCATCCATCCATCCATCCATCCATCCATCCATCCATCCATCCATCCATCTATCCATCTCTATTCATCAAATAATCTATCCATCCAACCATCCATTCAAGTATTCACTCATTCCATGCATTGATCCATTTATCCAGCTCTGTACCTTTAACCATGCATCCTTCCATCCATCCGTCCACCAATGCATCTATACATTTGGCCATCCTTCTCTATATTCACCCAACTTTCCCTCCATGCACCTCTTTCTCTAACCCTGTAACCATCCATCCATCTATCTATTCGCTTTGTCTATTCATCCATCCATAATGAAATCAAGCTCATTTCGACAATAAATGCTGTGTTTGAACAAATAGTATATCCACCCATGCATCCATCCATTGCTCCATCCCTTTCTACATTCATCTAACCATCAATACATCCACCTATCTATTCACTCTTCACTCATACACCCATCTATTTATCCATTCACCTATCCATCCATTGGTCCATCCCTTTCTATATTCATCTAACCATCCGTCCATCCATCTATTCACTCTTCACCCATTCATTTATCCATTCATTCATCCATCCATTGGTCCTTCCCTTTCTTTATTCATCTAACCATTCACCCATCCATCCATCTGTAATGAAATTTAACATGCATTGTAGCCAAAAGTGAGTTGAAGAACCCAATGTAGATGCTTGTTCCAGTCTGTGCAGCTTGTTTTTTGGCCAAGTCGGATGTCCTTACAGCATATCAGCCCTCTGGGAGTCTTACAGTAAAACATCAAACTTGATTAATGATGGCTGTATTGACATCTCTAACCTTCCTTTAGAAACCCAATCAGAGCCCAGCAGAGTGGAACCATGTGGAGGAGTGGAACTAGATCGTATTGCACAGTGATGGTTTCTGGTAAAGTGGACGTTATTTATGTTGGATGGCTCTGTTACTGAAGCCCCTGGCTGTGGAAGAAAGATCATAAAGTCTCAATCGAGTCTCTAAATATCCACACAGCTCCATCATTCACTGTGATGATGTTTTACGGCCATCATATCCATTAACACCAGATTATATTTCAGGCGGTGCATTTTATTTCCGATAAAGATGTATGTCGCAGAAATATTTGAGTGTCCATCTACCACATTGTCATTTATCTTTCTCTCACTTTCTGCCAGGGTAATGATGAAGTTTTGGGATGTTTCGAAAGCACTTTAAAATATAAGCTCTTTATATATATATATATATATATATATATATATATATATATATATATATATATATATATATACATTCGTAATCTTTTTTTGAAACACTCTCTAAATGATATCGATTGCATTTCCTCTTACTATTTTACTTCATGAGACCTTTCTTGTAATTCTGACTTGAATCTAATTACATGGGGTTGGGCCCAAAGGAAATAATGCTTGTACATGATAAATAATATTTAACGTATCAACGTGGAACAAATAGCTATGGGCAATGATATAGCAACTAATCTTATTTCACAGACATCCTTGCTGTATTGTACGATATGGAGAAATGGAGTATAGGAAATTATATTATAGCACAAATAAATCACAAAATCAGCAAAGTTTGAGGTTTACAATGGGTAGACTAGTTGAATTCTAGATTCTGTTTGGTCAGAAGGTGTTATAAGGAATAAAACCCTCCTAGCCATGCTGGTGTAGGAAAATAACCTCTTTCACTGCTACAACAGATTGTATTTATCCTTAGGATTAAAGTACTAAAGCTGTAGTACTTATCTGGAGGTTCATGTGGATATTATAATTAGAAGTTTATGATGCATTACTAGACACTATAATAATGCTTATGAGGCATTTGGACGAAATTGCAGAGAATTATAAGCAGAGCTCTAATAGCTGCTAATTGCAGGCTGTGTAGAAAGCAATATTTTCCACCACTTAGTTATAATCTTGCCTTCCAAAATTCAATCCGTCCATTTTCTATACCGCTTATCCTACTGGGTCGGGAGAACCTGGAGCCTATCCCAGGGAGCATCGGTCACAAGGCGGGGTACACGCTGGCAATCCAATGCAGGACACAATCACATACACACTCACACTACGGACACGCCAATCCACCTACCATGCATGTCTTTGGACTGGGGGAGGAAACCGGAGTACCCGGAGGAAACCCCGCAGCACAGGGAGAACATGCAAACTCCACACACACAGGGCCACGGTGGGTATCAAACCCCCAACCATGGAGGTGTGAGGCGAACGTGATAACCACTAATGCACCACGTACCCTCCTTCCTGCTTTCTGGGAAAGAAGGAGATGCCCTGGTGTTAATTCAAAAGAACGCAATTTCTACAGTCTTACACCATGGCAGGGATTTACTAGTTTCCAATGTGCAGTTTGATCAAGCCTGATGTCCTTAAGAGAAAAACATAACACGTTTACTGTATTCTACAAGTTTGAGTCTGGGATCTAGTTCCAGTCCTTTACTCTTCCAAACAGAATTCAGGAGTTACACAGTCTGAAAGCACTGAAGATTTTTCAATTATGTGGTAATCACTTGCTAAACTTTTTCATAAGCCAGTGCACAGTCATCTATATTGCAGATTGCAACCTTCAAGATGCTGAATCTTGTATTCAGAGAAGTGTATAATAAGCCACAGATGTTTTAGCAGGTTGTGGATGGGGCATCTGTAGCTAGTTAAGGGTCTCGCACCAGCACCAATAGTAGTTCACTCAGAGTTGGGATTTGAACCCACAACTTTCAACCTCTAACTCAGAAGCTTCAAACCTGAGCCTCCACTGTTCCTAGCTTTAACTGTTTCCAAACTTTAGGGATGACGACAACTTAGCCTGGTCGTGCTCTGCAGTCTTCAAAATTTAAGCTTTTAATAACTGCACTGCTTTTCAGCAGCTTTAAATGGAACAAATGCACGTATCAAAAATGTCTTAAATGTTGCTTGAGGCAAGTTCAAATAACTCAGAATTTCTACGTAAACATACTAAGGTGACATGGTGGTTATTTTTTCATAAGGTGCAGCCACAAATCCATATATTAATGCCAAGAGTTACGTTTTTTTCCAGGTCAATTCCGTGGCCGTGAAGTACTGTACTTAACTCATGGGAACTATTTTAAAATGAATGAGACACATAGTCAGTGGCTTTAGAACTTGAATATACCATTACCCCAAGTCAACTTTAAGCGAATTCTCAAAGTGGATAGATGTTTTCACCCTATCCACCAAATAATTAACTGTAGACCACATATTAAGTATGATATTCCACAATATGCAGTATTAACATCCGACAGTGAATTTGGAATATCATGGCCACAATGTAATAATTTGTAGCCACAAGGCCTTGAAACATTAACTTATGACCTCAGCTTTTTCATTTATGTCCAGTCTCACACCAGAAGCTCACATACAAACACAGTGACTGAGAAAATGGTTTCTATTTATTCCTTATGATCAGTTTACTCCATCCCGAATCAAAACTATCCGAAACTATGGAATCTGTGGACTGAAAGTTCTTGGGAAAAAAGTAGAATAGCTAGTTAATAACAGACGATCCATGTAAAAGACTAAGTGAAAATGAGCTTAAGATTTCTTCTTCTGAATGCTGTAATGGAGACATTGCTTTAGTGAATTTGTAACAACTGTGTGTTTTTCTAGATATAAAAGGCTTTACTCATGAATCATTAGTGGAAAGGGACTTCTTAAATAATGCAAAAAGGATCGACAAAGCATATATATATATATATATATATATATATATATATATATATATATATATATAAAGAAGGAAATTATGATAGCATATATACTGAAAGAAAGAAGTTCTCTCTGCCTGGTGACACTAATACACTTACATCATGTGAATAATTCTATAAAAGCTATACAACACACTGATAACATAGTATTAACCTAGTAATAAAAGCGAAATCATGTCTTGTTGTCATAAATAATACAAATATAGAAAAAATACTGTTGGTTTTTTGCAACAGACGGGACACCCTCGGTGTGAAAAGAGTGGTAATTAATGAAAGCATTCAGTACCGAGGTTCACTCCGCAAACACGTTCTGTTCAGAATCCGGAGAATTCGACACACAACTCAAACAGCGGTTAAGGTTCACACACTGAAAATCCCCCTTCATCCCTAACAGCTCATCCAACCAGCAGGACTTTAAGGACCTTTCTGTAACGCTGTCTCCGCACACCATCGTTCTATTAAATAACCAGCAATGGAGATGGCTGGAGGGCTCTGAACCAAGAGAGGCCTTTGGATAAGAGTATTACATTGAAATAAAAGTTAAAAATGGATCCACGCAAGAGCTGTAAGTGCTAAAAGCTCGAGAAATACAATATGAAATGTAAAAGCTCGGTTGTATTCACTTGATATGAAATATATGACAAACCATTGTTTCATTTCAAGCAAAAGCACTTTTCCCGTTAATAGTAACCACCACACCACAAGGTGCCAATATTTATGGTTTAGTCATCCCATTGAGGATTTTTGAGCCTTTGTTTGGGTGTGAAAGACAGCTACTTTCGCTTTGCACCAACTTCATCTGTGTTCCCCTTTAAACATTTGGTTTGTGAACCAATAGAAAAGAAAAAGGGTGTGAGAAAGAGAGAGGGAGGGGCATACTCGCTCACTTGTCAATCATAGTGACAATAGCCAATCACAGTGTCTGTGAGCTCATGTTTCTTCTTTCCTTTCTTTCTGTATTTAGTTATTTTTTTCATATTTTGGGCTCTTTCTTTCTTTTAGGTGCTTCTTTTACCTTTCTTCCTTTTTCTTTCAATCCTTCCTTCCTTTCTTTCTTTTTGGGTACTTCTTTTTCCTGCCTTCCTTTCTTTTTAGCTGCTTCTTTTTCATCTCTTTGTTTTTCCTTCCTTCCTTTCTTTCTATCTTTTTAGGTGCTTTTTTTCTTTCTTTTCTTCCTTCCTTCCTTCCTTTCGTTTCAGGTACTTATTTTTCATTCTTTCTTTTTCCTTTCTTCCTTTCTTTTCCCTGAATACGACACCTTGCCTTTCTTTCTTTATTAGTTTTTTCTTCCTTCCTTTCCCCTGGATATGACAACGTGGCTTTGTATTTACTTACTATTGTCTTCCTTTCTTTCTTTCTTTCTTTCTTTCTTTTTTCTTTCTTTCTTTCTTTTAAGGTACGTACTTTTCATTATTTATTTTTCCTTCCTTTCTTTCTTTCTTTCTTTCTTTCTTTCACTTTTGTTCCTTCTTTCCCCTGTTTAAGACATCCTGCCTTTCTGTCTTTACTTGTTTTTTCTTCCTTCCTGCCGCGTTATATCGCGTAGCTTATAGTAATACGAGTGTGTGATGATAACGTTGAGGTTTAAATTTAGAGTACAGTACTTACTCAGAATAAACCTGCAAAATTTGCTTTTCAATTTGAAAACCAAACACCACCACATGTCATGAAGGGACGCTGTTCTTCCCTGTTCTCCTTCACACATGTTCTAGATTCCACTAAGTGCAGCGTGGATGAAGTTATTTAACCTGGTTTGGTGCGAAAAGGCGTGATATTGAACAGCAGGAATCGATCCACAACGTTTAATTTCCTGAAACACTCGACACGACTCGAGAACCTGCACATGTTTCAACGTTATAAAACAAACGGTTCTGTGTTTTACAAAAGAATTAAGTATATTCCACACAGTACAGTGTTGATTAGTGTGTATGTGTGTGTGTGTATTAGGGTCTCAGTGTCAGTAAGGAGTGTCAGTCATACACACCCCATTAAAACTCACACACACACACACACATACACACACACACACCTTAACACTCATACACACACTAACACTCACACACACCACATTAACACTCATACACACCACAGTAACACTCATACACACACTAACACTCACACACACCACATTAACACTCATACACACCACAGTAACACTCATACACACACTAACACTCACACACACCACATTAACACTCATATACACCACAGTAACACTCATACACACACTAACACTCACACACACCACATTAACACTCATACACACCACAGTAACACTCATACACACACTAACACTCACACACACCACATTAACACTCATACACACCACAGTAACACTCATACACACACTAACACTCACACACCTTAACTCATACACACACAACATTAACACTTCTATACACACATTAACACTCACACACGCCTTACCACCCATACATACCACATTAACACTTCTACACAAACATTATCACTCACTCACCACATTAACACTTCCACCCACACATTAACACTCATACACACCACATTAACACTTCCACCCACACATTAACACTCATACACACCACATTAACACTTCCACCCACACATTAACACTCACCGCAATAACACCCATACACACCACATAACACTCATACACACATTAAAACTTCGATACACACATTAACACTCACACACGCCTCACCACCCATACACGCCACATTAACACTTCTACACAAACATTATCACTCACTCACCACATTAACAGTTCCACCCACACATTAACACTCATACACACCACCTTAACACTCACACACCACATTAACATTAACACACATCACACCAACACTCATACACACACATTAACACTCACACACGCCTCACCACCCATACACGCCACATTAACACTTCTACACAAACACTATCACTCACTCACCACATTAACAGTTCCACTCACACATTAACACTCATACACACCACATTAACACTTCCACCCACACATTAACACTCACTCACCACATTAACACTTCCACCCACACATTAACACTCAATTACCCAATAACACCCTATACACACCACATGCACACACACATTAAAACTTATACACAAACACATCACACCCATAAACACCACACTGACACCTCTATACACACAGTAACACTCACTCACCACATTAACACTTCCACCATCTACATAACAACAAAATGGGTGCCTCTCCCGTAGTGTTATGCTAAACGCAACATCAAAGTTGCCTTTGAAAGAGAAATCTGTGTCTGTCTCTTATCACTGGATATCAGCCTCTCAGTTTGTTTTTATTTCTATTTTCTCTTTATTTGTTTGTTTGTTTCTTTCTTTCTTTCTGCTGTATATGACACCTTGCCTTTCTTTTTCTTTCTTCCTTACCTTTTTCTTTCTTTCTTTCATTCTTGCATAATTTTCTTTTTATTTAATTATTTTTCTTTCTTTCTCTTTATATTTGTTCATTAATTAATTAACTTATTTATTTACTTTTGTTTCTTACTTTACTTTCTTCTTTCTTACTTT